CCTGCTGGGTGGGGGAGTCGTACTGGAAATATTGATCTGCGTGGCATTGTTCTGTGTACCATAATCATCCTCTCCAAGCAACTGCAAGTCTTCAGCAATACAGTCCTGCTAAACGAAGTCCTCTCCCTTTTCATCTACTTCAGCACCTATGCACAAAGATTTAGGATTGGATTGTGTTTTAGAGACGGGGACTACCTGAGCTCTATGCCTTCACAATGCCTCTCGCAGTGAGGTTTTGGTAGATGACTAGGACTTCTGCATGCTCCTGCAGTACAGAAAGCAAATATTAAGTACCAAAATCTGTGGGAGTCTAAATATGGATTATAATGTGATGGAGACTTTCCCAGGAGCATGTTATGAGTTGCCCATGTCTCTGACTTCTGGCTAGGTCATTATGACCTGTATGAGACTCCTGAAAGGGAAGTGGGGGGGGGGGAAATTGGGTCAGGAGTTTGGCTTGTTTCTAGATCTGGTGGAACAAAGTTTGGCTAGCAGGGAGGAAACTCCTAGGAAATCGGTCTTGAGGGGGGGTGGGATCCTGTGGGCTAGCTTGAGTATAATTGTTCATCTCTTCATTGCCCAGTGCCTAGTTTGACAGCTGAATCCTTGGACTTTCAGCCATTACTCTATCGTTCTTTCTTTCAATCATTCATTATTGCATTATCTGTGAAGTGGGAGAACCCTTTTTCCTCCATCACCATTTGAAACTTTAACAAGGAGGGAAAACAGAGTTTTGAGACTTTAATACAGGAAAATTGGAAATGAATGTGGAAAAACCTAGAAGTGATCTGATGAACTGGAAAGACGGGCAAATATTTAATACTGGGTTTTTTTAGGTCCCCTGCCCCAGCATGTTGTAGCCTTTCTCTTGAAAGATTAAACCACATTTTATTTTGAAAGGGTTTTGGCAAATTCCCAACAGCAATCTGTGGGGTGCTTTTTTTGCAGTTGGATGCTATGATTTAGATTAACTTGATTTCCTTTGCTGGAATATCCACTGAAGAAATGTCCCTTCAAAGTGCGTCTTGGAGAAGTGCTACACGTGCACAAATCTCTGACCGCCTGCCCAAGAAAAGTGGTTGGTTGTTGCTCTTTTGCTTGCTCACCCGAGGAAAAAGTAGAGGGGCTGTTTCCAATCGGGCATGGTGCTGATACGAACTTCCCTCGCAGCTCAGTCCTGCCTCATCTGAAGTCAACCGTAGTCTTGTCAATCACTGCGTATGCAGGTTCGCGGTTCTTCGGGTTTCTTAAAAGGTCTGTAATGAATTTTTGCTGCTTGGTATTATGACTATATACACTAACATTCAATGTGTAGTTGGTCTATAAGGTGCAATTCTCCCCCTGCCTTCTGCAAAAAGGTTTGCAGTCCTCCAGTCCTGTTCATGAAGCCCATCTACCAAGGAAGGATGAGCCAGGGGGCATGGAAAAGAGGCTGTAGGCTAAGAGCAAAGATGTCCTGGGACTATTCTGCAACTAGCAGAAAAGAAGAGAAGTCTTGCACTGCAGCTTTCCCATGCTGTTCACCAGTGCATCAGGTAATGGAAGAAAGCAGTTGGTGAGCATCTCTGTCATCAGCAAGACCAAAACTGTCTTGGGTCCCTGAGTGTGGATGCATTTTTCACCTATTATGTGAATGAGAGGCAAGGCAGCTAGGGAAAACCCGGTGGGAAGGTTCATGTGTCTTGCATCTGGTGTTGGCCTGAATTTCAATGCTTAGTCAAAACTTAGCCTTGCAGCAGCAAGTGACCCAGCACAAGGTCACTTGGAAGTCTCCTATGAGCAGCAAGGAGTACTTTTATATCAGGAAAACCCCCCTAGGAATCGGAGTAAATACCCGCCTCTCCAGCCTCGTTCCACACATACACCACGGCTCGCTCCTGACGCAACACTTTCCATCCGGATCTCTCCGAGGCTGCAACTCCAGCATCTCGGGTTACAGCCCGAGACTGTGCATGTGTTGCAGACCTGTCCAAAATACCGACGGAGTTATGTGGAACATCCCTGCTCCCTCGCTCTCACGGGGCTGCAGCTCAAAGGCACTTTCCAGCTAGACGGTCCCCGGAGACTCTACTCATCTCCAGAACCAATTTGGTCATTTGTGGGGGGAGCTGCCATTTTTGCACTTGCTTGCAAGAACTTGGCAGGCTTTCCGTGGCAAACACGTAACAGCGGTGCAACATCTAAAATGCGAGTAACCAGCTGCGTGAGGCATCGTTCCCTCCAGTCGTGTAAGCTGGAAGTTGTTCTGCGGTTGTTTACCTAATTAATAAAATGCAACTGGAGCTGGCCTCTGCTCAAGCCCAACGCATGGACTTGATCCAGGTGCTGAAGCCTCAAGAGTTTGTGGATTTTTAGGGGTGAAACTTGCATTTCAAACTAATAGTTTTACACTAAAAGGATTCACCTTTTTATGGCTCTTTGCAAATTCTTCTTTGACTCTGTGCCCAGGTCATCCATGTTAAGTGGGATTATTTCTGCTCACTCAAGGGATGACTGAATGCTTTTAACTTGGACTAATGAATAGTCAGTGTCAAATCAGCGGCTTCCTCCTCTTCAGATGCTTTCATAATGCCTTGTGTGGAAATCTACTGAACTTTTGGGACTTCCAAACATTTTTCTTGTGCTAATTGTTGACCGTGTAGTTATGCACAAACAATAAACAGATGGTTATGTACAGCAAATTAGCCATGCCTGTCCAACAACACAAGGCAATTGCCAATTATGGTACCGGCTCATTGGATCTAATTGTAGAGCATCAGTTGTGGCTGCTACCTTGCAGTACATCTACCCCAGCAGACCTCACAACCCTCAATTTCCCCTTGCTCATGCACTCAAACCATAAGGCTACTGGGTGTCCCAATTTGACCAGTGCAGTTTGGAGAAAAAAAACAAACCCAACCAAACGTCCCAGTAGCACAATACAGAGCTGAACACTGGGGTTTTGGTCCTAGCTTAAAGCTTCTGCCCCAAGACCCAGGTACTGCTTCACTTTGGCACTCTCTCACCATGATG